TAGTATGAGTGAGGTTAGGTTAGAGTGCTAGTTAGGTTAGGTCAGAAATCTGGTATCAGGAGAATATAATGTGCGAGGAGGTGAAGAATAGGATAAAGTTTGAGTGAGGTTAGGTTAGAGTGCTAGTTAGGTTAGGTCAGAAATCTGGTATCAGGAGAATATAATGTGCGAGGAGGTGAAGGTTAAGATAAAGTATTAGTGAGGTTAGGTTAGAGTGCTAGTTAGGTTAGGTCAGAAATCTGGTATCAGGAGAATATAATGTGCGAGGAGGGGAAGGTTAAGATATAGTATGAGTGAGGTTAGGTTAGAGTGCTAGTTAGGTTAGGTCAGAAATCTGGTATCAGGAGAATATAATGTGCGAGGAGGTGAAGATTAGGATAAAGTATGAATGAGGTTAGGTTATAGTGCTAGTTAGGTTAGGTCAGAAATCTGGTATCAGGAGAACGTAATGTGCGAGGAGGTGAAGATTAGGATAAAGTATGAGTGAGGTTAGGTTAGAGTGCTAGTTAGGTTACGTCCGAAATCCGGTATCAGGAGAATATAATGTGCGAGGAGATCGAAGGTTAAAATAAAATTTAAGTGAGGTTAGGTTAGCGTGCTAGTTAGGTTAGCTCAGAAATCTGGTATCAAGAGAATATAATGTGCGAGGAGATCGAAGGTTAAAATAAAATTTAAGTGAGGTTAGGTTAGCGTGCTAGTTAGGTTAGCTCAGAAATATGGTATCAGGAGAATATAATGTGCGAGAAGATCGAAGGTTAAAATAAAATTTAAGTGAGGTTAGGTTAGCGTGCTAGTTAGGTTAGCTCAGAAATCTGGTATCAGGAGAATATAATGTGCGAGGAGATCGAAGGTTAAAATAAAATTTAAGTGAGGTTAGGTTAGCGTGCTAGTTAGGTTAGCTCAGAAATCTGGTATCAGGAAAATATAATGTGCGAGGAGATCGAAGGTTAAAATAAAATTTAAGTGAGGTTAGGTTAGCGTGCTAGTTAGGTTAGCTCAGAAATCTGGTATCAGGAGTATATAATGTGCGAGGAGGTGAATGTTAAGATATAGTATGAGTGAGGTTAGGTTAGAGTGCTAGTTAGATTAGGTCAGAAATCTGGTATCAGGAGAACGTAATGTGCGAGGAGGTGAAGATTAGGATAAAGTATGAGTGAGGTTGGGTTAGAGTGCTAGTTAGGTTAGGTCAGAAATCTGGTATCAGGAGTATATAATGTGCGAGGAGGTGAATGTTAAGATATAGTATGAGTGAGGTTAGGTTAGAGTGCTAGTTAGGTTAGGTCAGAAATCTGGTATCAGGAGTATATAATGTTAAGGTGAATGTTAAGATATAGTATGAGTGAGGTTAGGTTAGAGTGCTAGTTAGGTTAGGTCAGAAATCTGGTATCAGGAGAACGTAATGTGCGAGGAGGTGAAGATTAGGATAAAGTATGAGTGAGGTTGGGTTAGAGTGCTAGTTAGGTTAGGTCAGAAATCTGGTATCAGGAGTATATAATGTGCGAGGAGGTGAATGTTAAGATATAGTATGAGTGAGGTTAGGTTAGAGTGCTAGTTAGGTTAGGTAAGAAATCTGGTATCAGGAGTATATAATGTGCGAGGAGGTGAATGTTAAGATATAGTATGAGTGAGGTTAGGTTAGAGTGCTAGTTAGGTTACGTCAGAAATCTGGTATCAGGAGAATATAATGTGCGAGGAGGTGAAGGTTGGGTTAAAGTATGAGTGAGGTTAGGTAAGAGTGCTAGTTGGGTTAGATCAAACATCTGGTAGCAGGAGAATATAATGTGCGAGGAGGTGTAGGTTAGGTTATAGTATGAGTGAGGTTAGGTAAGAGTGCTAGTTAGGTCAGATCAAAAATCTTGTATCAGGAGAATATAATGTGCGAGGAGGTGAAGGTTAGGTCAACGTATGAGTGAGGTTAGGTTTGAGTGCTAGTTAGGTTAGATCAAAAATCGGGTATCAGGAGAATATAATGTGCGAGTAGGTGAAGGTTAGGTTAACGTATGAGTGAGGTTAGATTAGAGTGCTAGTTGGGTTAGATCAAACATCTGGTAGCAGGAGAATATAATGTGCGAGGAGGTGTAGGTTAGGTTATAGTATGAGTGAGGTTAGGTTAGAGTGCTAGTTGGTTAGATCAAAAATCTTGTATCAGGAGAATATAATGTGCGAGGAGGTGAAGGTTGGGTTAAAGTATGAGTGAGGTTAGGTTAGAGTGCTAGTTGGGTTAGATCAAACATCTGGTAGCAGGAGAATATAATGTGCGAGGAGGTGTAGGTTAGGTTATAGTATGAGTGAGGCTAGGTAAGAGTGTTAGTTAGGTTAGATCAAAAATCGGGTATCAGGAGAATATAATGTGCGAGGAGGTGAAGGTTAGGTTAACGTATGAGTGAGGTTAGATTAGAGTGCTAGTTGGGTTAGATCAAAAATCGGGTATCAGGAGAATATAATGTGCGAGGAAGTGTAGGTTAGGTTATAGTATGAGTGAGGTTAGGTTAGAGTGCTAGTTAGGTTAGATCAAAAATCTTGTATCAGGAGAATATAATGTGCGAGGAGGTGAAGGTTAGGTTAACGTATGAGTGAGGTTAGGTTAGAGTGCTAGTTAGGTTAGGTCAGAAATCGGGTATCAGGAGAATATAATGTGCGAGGAGGTGAAGGTTGGGTTAAAGTATGAGTGAGGTTAGGTAAGAGTGCTAGTTAGGTTAGATCAAAAATTTTATATCAGGAGAATATAATGTGCGAGGAGGTGAAGGTTAGGTTAACGTATGAGTGAGGTTAGGTTTGAGTGCTAGTTAGGTTAGATCAAAAATGTTATATCAGGAGAATATAATGTGCGAGNGTGCTAGTTAGGTTAGCTCAAAATTCTTGTATCAGGAGAATATAATGTGCGAGGAGATTGAATTTTAGGATAAAATATTAGTGAGGTTAGGTTAGAGTGCTGGTTAGGTTAGCTCAAAAATCTTGTATCAGGAGAATATAATGTGCGAGGAGATTGAATTTTAGGATAAAATATTAGTGAGGTTAGGTTAAGAGTGCTGGTTAGGTTAGCTCAAAAATCTTGTATCAGGAGAATATAATGTGCGAGGAGATTGAATTTTAGGATAAAATAGTGAGGTTAGGTTAGAGTGCTAGTTGGGTTAGCTCAAGAATCTTGTATCAGGAGAATATAATGTGCGAGGAGGTGAAGGTTAGGTTAACGTATGAGTGAGGTTAGGTTTGAGTGCTAGTTAGGTTAGATCAAAAATTTTATATCAGGAGAATATAATGTGCGAGGAGGTGAAGGTTGGGTTAAAGTATGAGTGAGGTTAGGTAAGAGTGCTAGTTAGGTTAGATCAAAAATTTTATATCAGGAGAATATAATGTGCGAGGAGGTGAAGGTTAGGTTAACGTATGAGTGAGGTCAGATTAGAGTGCTAGTTGGGTTAGATCAGAAATCGGGTATCAGGAGAATATAATGTGCGAGGAGGTGAAGGTTGGGTTAAAGTATGAGTGAGGTTAGGTTAGAGTGCTAGTTAGGTTAGATCAAAAATCGGCTATCAGGAGAATATAATGTGCGAGGAGGTGAAGGTTAGGTTAACGTATGAGTGAGGTTAGGTTAGAGTGCTAGTTGGGTTAGATCAAACATCTGGTAGCAGGAGAATATAATGTGCGAGGAGGTGTAGGTTAGGTTATAGTATGAGTGAGGCTAGGTAAGAGTGTTAGTTAGGTTAGATCAAAAATCGGGTATCAGGAGAATATAATGTGCGAGGAGGTGAAGGTTAGGTTAACGTATGAGTGAGGTTAGATTAGAGTGCTAGTTGGGTTAGATCAAAAATCGGGTATCAGGAGAATATAATGTGCGAGGAAGTGTAGGTTAGGTTATAGTATGAGTGAGGTTAGGTTAGAGTGCTAGTTAGGTTAGATCAAAAATCGGGTATCAGGAGAATATAATGTGCGAGGAGGTGAAGGTTAGGTTAACGTATGAGTGAGGTTAGATTAGAGTGCTAGTTGGGTTAGATCAAACATCTGGTAGCAGGAGAATATAATGTGCGAGGAAGTGTAGGTTAGGTTATAGTATGAGTGAGGTTAGGTTAGAGTGCTAGTTGGGTTAGATCAAAAATCTTGTATCAGGAGAATATAATGTGCGAGGAGGTGTAGGTTAGGTTATAGTATGAGTGAGGTTAGGTTAGAGTGCTAGTTGGGTTAGATCAAAAATCGGGTATCAGGAGAATATAATGTGCGAGGAGGTGAAGGTTAGGTTAAGTATGAGTGAGGTTAGGTTAGAGTGCTAGTTAGGTTAGATCAAAAATCGGGTATCAGGAGAATATAATGTGCGAGGAGGTGAAGGTTAGGTTAACGTATGAGTGAGGTTAGATTAGAGTGCTAGTTGGGTTAGATCAAACATCTGGTAGCAGGAGAATATAATGTGCGAGGAGGTGTAGGTTAGGTTATAGTATGAGTGAGGTTAGGTTAGAGTGCTAGTTAGGTTAGATCAAAATCTTGTATCAGGAGAATATAATGTGCGAGGAGGTGAAGGTTAGGTTAAGTATGAGTGAGGTTAGGTTAGAGTGCTAGTTGGGTTAGATCAAACATCTGGTAGCAGGAGAATATAATGTGCGAGGAGGTGTAGGTTAGGTTATAGTATGAGTGAGGTTAGGTTAGAGTGCTAGTTAGGTTAGGTCAGAAATCTGGTATCAGGAGAATATAATGTGCGAGGAGGTGAAGGTTAGATTAACATATGAGTGAGGTTAGGTTAGAGTGCTAGTTAGATTGGATCAAAAATCTGGTAGCAGGAGAATATAGTGTGCGAGGAGGTGAAGGTTAGGTTAAAGTATAAGTGAGGTTAGGATTAGAGTGCTGATGAAAATCCAGTTGGCGAAACGGCCATTAACGACCTGCTGTACTCACGCTTCCGGCAATCCTTATTAAATTAAATTAATATTAATTCAACTATTCAACCAGAGGTGTGTTATTTACTTGTGAGGTTGTTTTCATTCACACCTGCCCTTTTCAAGTGTAATAGATAATTAGTATGAAATGACTTTTATTACGGATAAGTGCCTAATGCTTAGGATTACATGTTCATCAAAAATTGAGTACTTACTTAAAGCAGTAACTTGATTATAAAATAACACAACCGTAAAAGTCCCAAACATAAAACTGTTACTAAAGCTAAATGATAAATTTGTAGCTTCCGGTATCGTTTTTCCCCTTCCGGTATGGTTTCCAAAGGGTCCTTAACAATGTACACGCGAGCGCCTTCTGTCCCGGAATAAAAGTACTGGTTCCAATCGAAGTTGCTCAAATCAAAGAAGAACTTTTTCTTGTCCTGGTCATTCAGATGTCGATATAGCTCTTGAGTGTTCTGGTCGGAGAACGGACTACGTTTGAAGGAGATAATACGCCGCGCATTCAGTGGCTTGTTGCGGAAGCAAAAGAAGTTGGATACCTGCAAAATTTAAATGCTAAAACCTAATATAAATAAAATAAGGGGTTGTTGGCGTGGATGAATAGCAAGTATTTTTGAAACAAGTCTTAAATGTATCGTTAATACTGGAATATGGAAATGTTAAATGTATATTTAAATCTTCTACCGTTCTAGCAGCGTTGGTTTTTTAAAACAAAAGCTACAATAGCTAAACACTCATTTTCACTGTAACACCAAATAGCTATTGTATGATTCATTTATATTTAGAACGAAGAGTTCAAAGTCAATAAGGAATTAGGCAAGTCAGCGTGCGTGGTTTATATGTAAATGCGTAAAGGTCAAATTTTGTCCATGATCGGTCCAATTTAAAAGGTAACGGTTTCGGTGGGACACGCATTTCGTTCCAATTCGGTGCGTCGAAAATGGATCATCCTGGAATCGAAGAGTTTTTTGCGGGCGCTAACGTTTTCTTGACCGGTGCGACCGGCCTAATGGGAAAACTGGCGATGGAGAAGCTGCTGCGTTCCTGCGGCGACCTGAAGAAGCTCTACGTGTTGGTCCGCGTGAAGAAAGGAAAAGCGGTCGAGGACCGATTCGTGGAGCTGTTCGAGAATGTGGTACGTACAACCTGTGGTCGACCACTTTGCTTTGAGCTGCTGTTCCAGATATTCGATCAACTAAAAAAGGAGCAGCCCGATTTTTTGAGTAAAGTGGTACTCATCCACGGCGATTGTGTTCAACCTAATCTTGGGCTGAGCGAGGATGATCGAATTATGCTGAGGGCAAAAGTGAATTGCGTCCTGCACTTTGCGGCAACCGTCAGATTCGATCAGACTATTCGAACGGCCACCTACATCAACGTCAGGGCGACGCGAGATCTTCTGAGGCTCGCCACGGAGATGCCCAATCTCAAATCTTTTGTTTACATGTCAACGGCCTACTCCCATTGCGTCCGAAGTAGCATAGGCGAAGAGTTCTACGAAACTCCGATTACCGGGGAGAAACTAATAACGCTAGTTGGCAGCTGCAGCGAAGAATTCCTCGACAAAATCACACCAACGTAAGTTAAGCTTGAGCCCACCGTACATTTTCCACCGAGCCATTGCAGACTTCTGGAAAGTTGGCCGAACACGTACTCGTTTACGAAAGCCGTCGCCGAGGAGGTCGTGCAGAGTTTCAGTGACAGATTATCGGTTGCCATAGTTCGGCCTTCCATAGGTATGTGAATTGGTTTGGAAACGAACATTTTTGAAATTTTTCTTGTTATTTTAATGTTAGTTTTTTATTGTAAATTTAGTCGTTAATTATTGTTGAATTGATTTAATTCAATTTACAACTTAGGAAACATTTAAACCTTTATATGGTCTGGTGTTGCTAAAAAGTTGTTATCGGACCAGAATTAATTGCTTTTCCAACAAACAATGCCACGTGCGCGATAAGCGTTGCAGGTGTTTTAATCAGTTATGACGGCGTAGATGGAATTTAGAGTATCGTCGGTAATAACGACGTTAAGTTTATTGGAGAAGGTGCTTTTTGCGCAAATGTGAAGAATGAAAAGTAAACCGGGCTGTATCGGCTTATTTTGAAAGAAATCATAAAACTGTCCGGACTCTTTAGACTTTAAGTTCATCGAACGTTAAAGCGGTTTGAAATTCTACAAACTCGTGTGGTTGTTAATTTCTAAAGGCTTCTATTTTTTTAATTTTTAGTACTGCCAACGGCAAGGGAGCCGTTACTGGGATGGACCGATAACATGTACGGGATAGTTGGATTAGTTGTCGGCATTTGTTTGGGTCTAATCCGTGTAGCTCGTATTAAAATCGACTGTTTGGCCGACATGGTGCCGGCAGACTACTGCATTAACAATGCGATTGCCGCCGCCTGGTACGTCGGAGAGAAGTAAGTCTTCGCGGACACGAACGACCATTCACCCTTAAATTTCTTACAGAAAGAACCGGGAAGTCGTCGGCAACTTCGATAATCGACCTCCAATATTTAACTTCGTAATTACTCCCCATGCCCCCATCACTTGGAGTGAGTTTCTGTACGCTTACACTTTATATCAACCAATTATATTACAGGAAATTTTTCGATGAGGATAGATGCCCATTTAAAAAGAGTACCAACGAAATACCTGGTGTGGTACCCTTGTTGTTTCTTCGCAGAGAATTACTACACGTACATGCTCCTCAACATTCTTTTTCACCACATACCGGCGCATCTCGCCGACTTTGTCATGCTTTGCCTTGGACGACAGCCGTCCTCCGCGATTCCCGGATTTTCCCATTTAAATTACCGGCCTGTGGATGGCGCTAGAAAAATCGATAAGGTCATGAATGCCATCTCGTACTTTTCGACAAGGGAATGGACGTTTTCCGACCAGAACACTCAAGAGCTATATCGGCAATTGAATGATACGGACAAGGAAAAGTTCTTCTTTGATTTGAGCAACTTCGATTGGAACCAGTACTTCTACTCCGGGGCAGAAGGCGCTCGCGTGTACATTCTCAAGGACCCTTTGGAAACCATACCGGAAGGGGAAAAACGATACCGGAAGCTACAAATTTATCATTTCGCTTTAGTAACAGTTTTATGTTTGGGACTTTTATGGTTGTGTTACTATATAATCAAGTTATTGTTTTAAATCTAAATTATAATTGAAGCTATGGGTTTATCCGAAATAAACGACATTTACCACTACTCAGTGTACTTGATAGGGCAATAGAAACAACCCCTCAAATAGACAACACTTCTGGAGTGCTTTTTCTTATTGCACAATTCAAATGTAAAACGAGCACTTTCCGATCGGGTAAGTAGACCACGTTCTTGTCCTCCGTGATATCCAGAAGTACCCCGAGAGAATGTAGATGGCGCTTTTGCGCTCTGTAATGATCGAGCTCATTTTGTGTATGTCATCGCACATGGCGACCTGCGCGTCCTAACGCAGCAGCATCTGCACGCAATCAGTGTGCCCCCCCCCTCCGCGCCGAAAGCAACAGGGGCGCCAGCTCGGCCTCCGTCACGATATTAACATGGTGAAAGCAACAGAAGAACGCCATGACTACCCTTCTGAGCCTAGAGCAAAGAGTCAACCGTAGTTCCACGACCCGAACAACTTACAGCGATACGCAACTGCGTGGTCTGCGGAACACCAGGCCCGTACAGCGCCACGTTATTCCCAACGGCGGCCAACAGCGACTACAGCGCGGACGAGTTTTGCCGACCGCGGGATAAGGTATCAGCGAGAAGTCTCTCAAATCTTGTAGTTTCGGATCGGCTTTGTGTTGCAGTAGGTAATTAACGCATCTAATAAAAAAATCGTACTGCAAGGCTGTATTAAAAACGTAGGTGAAAGCATGAGGTTAACCCCCAACCCGAGTACCACAAAAAAATCTGCCGCCAATTAGTTCTCTATATTAGGGTTTGACCAATTTGCAAGCGATAATAACCAATTTCGAAGAAAAATTCAAAGGGCTGTAACTTTTGAACTAGTAGCCCAATCTTGGAACTGTTTGAAATTATGGATTCTACAGGCCACATTCTATCAGAAAATTTTTTTTCGGATCGATCTGAGACAATTTTTTTTTCGGGGCTCAAAAAAGGCAGTGTATTATAACCTTCCTTTTTTACCGAACATCGTCTGCACCAAAATTTCTCGGGAAAACACTTTTTCTTATTAATTTTTGTACGTAGAATCCAAAACAATTCGTACTTTTTCGATCAGACTTCTCAATCAAAAGTTATAGACTAGAAACCAATTTCAAAAAAAAATTCAAAGGGCTGTAACTTTTGAACTAGTAGCCCAATCTTGGAACTGTTTGAAATTATGGATTCTACAGGCCACATTCTATAAGAAAAATTTTTTTCTGGGTCGATCTGAGAAAATTTTTTTTCGGGCCTTCGAAAAAGGCAGTGTATAACCTTCCTTTTTTACCAAAAATCGACTGCACCAAAATTTCTCGGGAAAACACTTTTTCTTATTAATTTTGGTGCGTAGAATCCAAAACAGTTCGTACTTTTTCGATCAGACTTCTCAATCAAAAGTTATAGACTAGAAACCAATTTCGAAAGAAAATTCAAAGGGCTGTAACTTTTGAACTAGTAGCCCACTCTTGGAACTGTTTGAAATTATGGATTCTACAGGCCACATTCTATAAGAAAATTTTTTTTCCGGGTCGATCTGAGACAATTTTTTTTTCGAGCCTCAAAAAAAGGCATGTATAACCTTCCTTTTTTACCAAAAATCGACTGCACCAAAATTTCTCGGGAAAACACTTTTTCTTATTAATTTTGGTGCGTAGAATCCAAAACAATTCGTAGTTTTTCGATCAGACTTCTCAATCAAAAGTTATAGACTAGAAACCAATTTCGAAAGAAAATTCAAAGGGCTGTAACTTTTGAACTAGTAGCCCAATCTTGGAACTGTTTGAAGTTATGGATTCTACAGGCCACATTCTATAAGAAAACTTTTTTTCTGGGTCGATCTGAGACAATTTTTTTTTCGGGCCTTCAAAAAAGGCCTTCCTTTTTTACCAAAAATCGACTGCACCAAAATTTTTCGGGAAAACACTTTTTCTTATTAATTTTGGTGCGTAGAATCCAAAACAATTCGTACTTTTTCGATCAGACTTCTCAATCAAAAGTTATAGACTAGAACCAATTTCGAAAGAAAATTCAAAGGGCTGTAACTTTTGAACTAGTAGCCCAATCTTGGAACTGTTTGAAATTATGGATTCTAAGGCCACATTCTATAAAAAATTTTTTTTCCGAGTCGATCTGAGACAATTTTTTTTCGGTGCTCAAAAAAAGGCAGTGTATAACCTTCCTTTTTTACCAAAAATCGACTACACCAAAATTTCTCGGGAAAACACTTTTTCTTATTAATTTTGGTGAGTAGAATCCAAAACAATTCGTACTTTTTCGATCAGACTNTGGTTTCTAGTCTATAACTTTTGATTGAGAAGTCTGATCGAAAAAGTACGAATTGATTTGGATTCTACGCACCCAAATTAATTAGAAAAAGTGTTTTCCCGAGAAATTTTGGTGTAGTCGATTTTTGGTAAAAAAGGAAGGTTATACACTGCCTTTTTTTGAGCCCCGAAACAAAAATTGTCTCAGATCGACCCGAAAAAAAAATTTTCTTATAGAATGTGGCCTGTAGAATCCATAATTTCAAACAGTTCCAAGATTGGGCCACTAGTTCAAAAGTTACAGCCCTTTGAATTTTTTTTTGAAATTGGTTTCTAGTCTATAACCTTTGATTGAGAAGTCTGATCGAAAAAGTACGAATTGATTTGGATTCT